AGGGAGACCCTGTCTCAAAAAGACCAAAACAAATATTTTTATTATTTTTTAAGTGTATGAGTGTTATGCGCCTGCATGTATGTAAGTGCATTGCAGAAGACAGAAGGACAGAAGAGGGCATCAGATCCTCTGGAACTGGAGTTACAGATGGCTGTTAGCTGCTAAGTGGGAGCTGGGATTCAAACCCAGGTCTTTTGCAAGAACAGCCAGTGCTCTTATCCACTGAGCCATCTCTCCAGCCCCTGCCCACCACTTCTATATGTAGCCAAAGATAACCTTGAATTGGTGATCCTCCTGCCTCCACCTCCCAAGTGCAGAGATTATAGTGTGTACCACCACACCAGCCTGATTCCTCTTCTTTAGTTCCTCACATCTAATTCAAAAAGTCATGATGACTGTGGGTCCTAAAGGCATTTCAAAACAACCCTCCCAAGTCCTCATCACTATTCTAATCCAAGCTACCCCATTCCTCTTGTAGCAGAGGTTCAGAGACTCATTAAAGAGGGAACAGCACAGCATAAAGGAAAGCAAAACATTAAATTAGAATCTTGAGTGAAGCACCAGGAGGCTCTCTACTGAGGGAACAGAGGCCCTGAGTTCCAGTCCCACTGCTTTTGCAGAGGACCCAGGTTTGATTCCCAGCATGTACTTGGCACCTAACAACTGTTAACTTCAGCTCCAGAGGATCTGATGCCCTCTTCTGGTCTACAGGCATTGCACTGCACTCAAATTGTGCATTACATGCAGGCAAAACACTGATACACATAAAACAAAAATAAAAACTTAGAACAGAGAATTTGTTTTCTAATAAGGAAACTAACTAAGCAAACTGAACTAATGGCCTGTGGAATGAGTGCTCTTTTTTACATTTTAAAAAAATTATTTTTTTAAGCTGGGCATGGTGGCTCACGCCTTTAGTCTCAGCACTTGGGAGGGAGAGGCAGGCAGATCTCTGTGAGTTCAAGGCCAGCCTGGTCTACATAGTGAGTTCTAGGCCAGCTGGGGCTACAGGGAGACCCTGTCTCAAAAAGACCAAAAAAATTATTTATTTTTATTTTATGTGTATATTTTGCCTGCATATATGGAAATGCAAGTGTTATGTAATATCACAGGAGGGTGTTGGATCCCCTGGAACAGGAGTTAATAGATAGTTGGTTGTTAGCCAGCATGTGGATGCTACAAACCAAACTCAGGTCCTCTGGAAGAGCAGTCAGAGCTCTTAACCTCTGAGCCTTCTCTCCAGCCCAGAGTGCTCTTTTTCTTACTAAGTCTGGGGTCTGGAACACTGCGTTCCTTTATCTACCTCAACACTCATGTCTGTGCAGCTTTATGCTTTATGCTTGACAACCACCATTGCATATGGTCAACATACTCTCAGCAGCGTTCAGACTTCTCCTCCTCCTCCTTCTACCTCTTCTTCCTCTTCCTATTCTTCTTCTTCTTCGTGGCTTTTTTTTTTTCTTTAGATGGGGTTTCCTTGTAGTCCCAGCTGTCCTGGAACTCTCTATGTAGAATTGGCTGGCCTCAAACTCACAAAGATCAGCCTGCCCTCTGGCTCACAAGTACTGGGATTAAAGGCGTGCACCACCACATCCAGCTTTTTTTTTTTTTTTTTTTTTTTTTTTTTTTTTTTTAATGTGTTTGAGTGCACCTGTATTGTGCAATGTGGCTAGCCTTGAACTCAGAGAGATCCACCTGCCTCTGGCTCCCAAGTGCTGGGATTAAAGGTGTGCGTCACCATGCCCAGCCCCAACACATCATCTAACAGACACCTACCACCACCTTCTAATAGAGCTTCCTGATTCCACTATGTTGCCCCCTCTACAACATTCTCTACATAGGACAATGGAAAAGGCAGATAATGCCAGTCATCTGCTGAAAGCTGGGGTGGGGTTGGGTATGTAACTCAATAGGTATAATGCCTACCTAGCATTCATGAAGCCCTGGGTTTGATCCCCAGCAACACATTAAACCAGGCATGGTGGCATACACCTATAATCTCAGTACTCAGGAGGCAGAAGCAGGAGGATCAAGAATTCAATGTTATCTTTGGCTACATATAAAATTTGAGGCCTGGATTACAGGAACCCTTTCTCAAAAGAAGAAAGAAAACTAGTTAGTTATTAATCTGTTAATGGCTTCTTCATTGCACTTAGGATCAGAGAAGGCAAGGATACAACAGGCATTGTCCATGACAGACAAAAACAGGTTTCTAAGTAAGCTGTGTCAAAATTGTTAGAATCAAAGTGGAGTCATTTTGTCAAACTCTTGACCAAAATAAATATGTCAGACTAGGAGGCTGTGAAGGAGGGGATCTCATGTGTGTATAAATGATGGGAACTATCTAGAAAGGACTCAGCCAGAACTACAACTGCACAAAGGCCACCACAACCTCAGACAGAAAACATTTCTGCAAGGACATCATTCAGAAACTCCCTACTTAATCTCACACTGGCACCATGTTTATTATTAATCTTTGTAGCTAAAGATTACTGTTACAAAACTTTATGTAATCTTCATTTCTCCTAAAAATGTCTCCTTGCCTCGGCCTCCTATGAGAACACTCATAGGTTACTATGGCATATACACTGAGGATGCTCTGCTATCTCCAAATATATATATTTTAGACACTCTGAGTGCCATTTAACAGCCCAGACCCCAGAGCCAAAAATGGAGGGGCTAATAGAACTTTCTTTGGATTCTTTTTTTTTTTCCTTTTTTTAGACAGGGTCTCCCTGTAGCCCCAGCTAGCCTGGAACTCTCTATGTAGACCAGGCTGGCATTGAACTTACAAAGATCCACCTGCCACTTGTTCCCAAGTGCTGGGATTAAAGGTTTGTACCACCACGCCTGGCTCTTTGAACTCTTATGGGGCTTTATGACATCCTATAACTATTCTCCTCCCCTACCTCCCCCTGCAGACCACAGTCCTCAGCTTACCTGTTGTACTCAAGTCTGATTATGGCATCTCTACTTTCCAGTCATAGTTTGCTTCCAGCTTCAGATTCTCAAGGGAGTCTGAGTGGCTCAGCTTGGACCAGCAGACTGCTCAAGGTCCAACCAACTGTTGAGGGGAAGGTCTCCAAATGTGGTCGTGAATAATGCCTCCCATTCTAGGGCTTGGCAGTGCTTACCTAGCATATACAGAGTCACGGGTTCTCCTCATTTCTGTTAACAAAGGGCTGGGTGCTCTTGTCCCCTCCCCTTGAATCTGGGCAGGCATTGTGACATACTTTGACCAATAGAACAACATAGGAGTACCACATCTGGAGATTTTAACAGTTCCTGCTTCCACCTCCTTGGAAGCCAGTTGCCACTCTAGGGTTTAAGGACATTCAAGCTAGATGACTAAATGTAGGGGTTACATACCAAGAGAGCCCTGTAGGAAGAGAGCTCATTTAGAATGTTCTAGTTTCGGCACACGAGCAGCTGAAAAGAGTGACTTAAGCAACTTCAGCCTACAGTACCACCTAGCTGAGCCTCATACCCAGTGACATGATAGATAATCACTGTTTCTGAAGCCACTTAAGTCATCCAGGAGATCACTGGAACATTGGCTAAGGACACGTCTTTAACACAATGTATCAGCGTAATACATTTCCAAGGGGGCTTCTCCCATTTGCCGGAGAGATGTACATTCCTGAGGCTGGAGCCGGAGCTATGCATTTCTCTTTGGCTTGGTGGTGGGACCTGACAGTGGTAGGAATTGGCAACTGTTGTCCTTGGAAACTGAGGCCTACCTCTTGGTACTTGAGACAGGATTTCTTGTCTCTGGAATGGTGGACAGAGGTCACTCTGCACCATCTACATTTGTGTTCAGTAATCAGTGCAAATAATCACAATCTTTTAGGTTGTTCTAGCTGAAGTACTAGCTTAGAATAGAGTCAGGACAATGGGGCACAGCAGTAAGGGACCACAAGGACTATGATGGCAATGGCTGGTAGTCTTTGCCACAAATGGATCCCTGATTCCCCCTACACACCTTAGGACCCTGATCTTGCAGAATGACAGCTGACCAAGTTGTTTTTGAATCTGAGGATGTGGATGTGAGCATTCAAGATATCTCAAGGGCTCCTCCTGCCTAGCTCCAGAGCAAGCCCTACAGTTTCTGTGTCTCTCCATAGCCATGGGATTTGTGGAGGGGTCCCTTCTGGGCCCCTGAGCATGGTCAAGCCTGGTCGAACAGGTCTGGCCTCTATGAATCAGGGTATGCCTAGGAGGGAGGCAACAAAGGTCCTGCAGACACCCCATAATGGCAACCAGCAGAGGCTCCATAATGGCAGCAGAAAGGCTCACCACAAAGTATAGAGGAGAGTCTCCATATCTTCTTATCATCTCTTGACTGCCCACAGGGGCAGTCCTGGGAAGGTAGAGGGAATGGAGTGCTGGAGGTGAAGAATATCTGGAAGCCCCAGTTACTTTGTGCATGTTCGCTTTGCTTGTTTGTTTTGAGGGAATGTCTCATGTATCACACACTGGCCTCAACTTACTATGTAGTCAATGACGACCTTAAACTTATGATCCTTCTGCCTCTACCTCCCAAATGCTGGGATTTAGGAATATGCCAATATGATGTGCACATTCGAGATATCCCAGTGGCTTCTTCCTGCCTGGCTCCAGAGCAAGTCCTAAAGTTTCTGTGTCTCTCCATAGCCCTGAGATTTGTAGAGGGGCCCCTTCTGGGCTCCCTGAGCATGGAACCCAGGGCTTTCTGCATCCTAAGCAAGCACTCCACCAACTGAAAAGCCCTTCCAGGAGAGCTTTGGAGGAGGAAACCTACCCATCACAGGCCTGCAGGAGCCATCCCTGCAGACTCTTATAGAAAGAGCTGCCCTGCTAAGAACTATTGCTGGGCAGTTATGTTGGCACTCGAAGGCATCCAACCTACAACCTTGGTAAACCAACAGCCACAGTATGGCCTGACAAGGCAACTCACATTCTGAGGAACTGGAGAGAGTAAAACAAGTGAGAAAGCAAGCAAGTCATGCAAGTGTCAGAAGAGTGTGCTGTATTGCTACTTCCTTACTTGCAACATGAAGTTGGAGTATATCCAAGCAAGGAGGAAGACTCCAGGTGAAGAATGATCCCTTCCAAAGCAGGAGCCATGATGCACAGGGACATTGAGGACTCCTAAAAAGCTTGAAGAGCCAAGAAGCTGCAAAGTAGGGTACCGAGGAATGACAGGAAGCTCTGAGGTCAGAGTGCCACCAGCTATCATGAAGGCTGGCTACAAGCAGGTGCTGAAGAACACTGACCAGTCTCCATCAGAATATCTGTAACATCTACCCATGAGAACCTCGAGATCAGGCCTGTTGAGATTCTCTCACAGAAGCGGGGGTCACTAGACCTGCACCTGAGACTCTAGTCTCTCCTTCCTGCAACTCCTTCCCCACTGTATGTAATTCTGCCAAAATCAGGGGTGGTTTCCTAGACTCTGAAGGTGATATACACAATGTGGAGAAAGTGAAAAGGGGAGTCTATCTATGCAGCTTATAGAGAAGTCATTGTTCATGCTGGGGTGAGACTTTCTAGTGATGGAGCTGTTTAGAGGTCACCCACACTCCTATAAGTAAGCATTCACCCACGCTCTTGTAAGTAAACCCAATAAAATCATTGGAACTTGGTAGAATTGTTAACTTTGGCCTGTCGTTGTTACCCTCTGGGGTGAGCACACATTTGTTCTCCTGAGGAAAAGTTCATGCAATACTAGGACTGACCCACCCTAAAAGTGCTCTTCAAAGGTAGGTACACAGGTACACAGGTGCAAGAGAGGCTGAAATATCAGGAGCAGATAAATGTGCCCCATTAACATGTATTTTATATCCATTTCTTTCTTTGGCTCCCTTGAGAATGTTAGCAGAGCTCCTCCTAGGCATCCACTCATCCTGACCTCTGCTAAGGACAGGGGCAGTTACTCGGATGGGGCAAGAGGAGCAAGGAATGGAGCACTCTGTGTGGTTTACAGGGATCTCGGGGGGTGGTCACCAGGACCCATGAAAACAGACTGGTCAATCAAGTTCTCCAACTCAGGCCCAGAAAAGCTAGGAGATGTGTGCTCATCCTCATAAGAGACCTTGTCTTCCTCCTCGCCGCCCCTGTCTTCATCCTCTTCCTCCTCACTGCCTCTGTCTTCATCTTCTTCACTGCCTTTATCATCATCTTGTTCATCCATGTTCACCATTTCCTTGGACATATCTATACGGCTGCTAGGGACTTTAGATAGTTTGGACTCTGATAGGTTTCTGGATGTCTGCTCCTGAGCTGTACCAAGATCCCAAGGGTTGAGCAGCTGGTGGATTGGCAACTCAGAGTGGAGGGAAGAGGAAGACTCTGTACCCTGGTCCTGATTGGAGTCATCAGTTGGTTCAGGCTGCCCAGAGGGGGTCTCTGTGCTGTGATGGGAGGTGTCAATATGGGAGGCACTAGGTTGGGAGGCTCTTGGTCTGGAGGTGTGCCTTGTGGCCTCCTGTGCCAACTCAGCCTGTTCCAACTTTCGCAGGAGGCAACTCCAGTTAATGTCTGAGGATAGGCGGATGTGGGTACCTTTCACCTTTTTAAAGCCCAGAAGGATGTCCATGAGAGCCTCAGTGACAGGGAAAGAGACAAAGCCAAGTTGCTTATTGAGGCTGTACTCAAACTTGTACTTGCAGACAAGCAAGGAGACTGCCTGATCAACCAAGAAGTTGGTGAGTTCCTCATGCCAGGGGTTGGAGATGTAGGACAAGGTAGGCAAGATGGAGGGCAGAGGCTTCTTCTTTGTTAACCTGGTGGGGCTCTGTGTAGCAGGCAAGGAGAGAAAAGACAACATGTCACCCCTTGTGGCTATCATTCCTCCTGCTGCCCTGTGATGCTCATCACATTCACTACACCCTCCTTGGCAGCACTGTCAGTTCTCCCTATGACAAACAGATGCCACATCTGTCACACTAAAGATACAGACATGCCACATCTGCTCTGCTGTAATTCTTTCATCCACCTGCCTCACCTGACAGGCCTGGTACAAAGCCCATGACCAGCCTGGACAGGCTAAGCTCTTGCAAGCTCACACACAGGCCTGTGTTCAGAGGGAATTATGCCTGGGCCCTCATGGTGGCAAGCTGAGGTACTTCCAGGGACTTCCAAGTTCAGGCCACCTAAGTCTTCATATACATTTCCTGACCAATGTTCCCTTAGTAGGGCAGAGAGACTGGAAAGTCCTACAGCTACATTAAAGGACACTAGACCCAAGAATACAGAGCCCTACTCTTAGCAAAAGCTCTTGTCCATAAGAGACAGGAACCTCTACATGTGGAAGGGCTTCTGGGATTCATATACAAACAATAAAACATATCCAGGCTGCAGGCTTGGTGACACATGCCTATACTCCCAGCATTTGGGAGGTAGAGGCAGGAGGATCAGGAGTCCAAGGGCACCCTCACATATTCTATATAGTGAGTTTGAGGCTAGCCTAGGCTACATGAGACCCTCTCAAAAAAAAAAAAAACAGGGTAAAAATTAGCCTTTATTTATTGTTGACAACACCTGATAATAGGTAGGCCAGGATTCTTGGTTCCCCCAACAGCTAGTACCCTACTCCAGGAGATTTCCACAGAGCAGGGCAAGAGCTCTTGACCTTGGGCACGAGTCAGTGACAGTGGCTACTAGGTGTGATGGCTGAAGAAACTCTTCCCCTGAAAATGTTTCTCCAAGACCTCCAGCCCTACTCTTGAGATCGTCTCTGAACATGGTGCAGTGGGAGAAGGGGAGATGTTGCTTACCAAAGAGGAGAATGAGGATAACATGGGGGAAAGGGAGGAGGAGGGAGAAGGGCAGGAAGAGGCAAGCTGATGAGGGAGAGGGCTCCTGAGACAGGTCTGGCAGGAGGCTACCTCCACTGTGATCCCAGGAGCAGGAAGGGTAAGGTGCAAGCCATGCCGGGGCTTGGCCATCTGGGAGCTCAGGACTACAGGTGGTTTCTGTAATTTGGGATCTGAGTCAGGGGACTCCTGTGTGGCCTGGAATGAGGGACTGAGGTCTTTGGGTTCTTCTGTGGGTATCACCTTGAGCCTGAATCTCGTAGCCATCTGGGCATTAGATATAGTGGGGGAACCCCGTCTGCTCCTGCTTTTTCTGTGAGATGTCTTGGTGCTGCAGGCTGTGGTAGGAGAACCACAGTGCTCCTCCCTGTCTTCCCTGTTGATGGGTATCGCCGCCTTAGAGTCATGCCCCAGACCAGAATTCACAGACAGCATTTGGGTGGGCTCTGAGGCAGCAGGGAAGAGAGGGAAGCCATTGTGGCGACAGGCTTTGCTGAGCTTGTCCACAGCCTGGCTGACCACACTCTGCAGGGCAGGAAAGAGGCGATTCCCAGCCAGGAAGTCCAGGGTATGATGAGGCTCCCGGTGTGAACAGTAGACAGGCAGGCTGAGTGCTACTTGCTGGCTCAGTAATGACTTTATCTCCTTGTGTAACCCTTGTTTGAGGAAAATCAGCTCCTGTTCTCCAGGTCCCAGCTCTGATGCTTCAGGAGTGCCTGAGCTGGAGCCCAGAAGCCCTGCAAACCAAGAAAGAGGCTGCTCCCGGGTCCACTGCCTGCTGGTCTGGCTGCCCAGAGAGTCCCACAGCAGGGAGTCCTTCTGGGAGCAGGACTGATTCAGGTCTTTCTGCAAAAAGAAGGGAATGCTGAGAAGTGTCTAGGAACTCAGCCAGGCCTAATCCTGGCCCAATTCTCAGGTCCACCTTCCACAAGCCCCAGCCCTAGCTCCAGATCTCACCCCTTTGTTTTCCAGTTGCAGTAGCCTCTTGAGGTTTTTCTCCAGCAGGAGTCTGTCCCTCATTGGTGGCAGTGAGCCTATACCTCGGGCACCTGGGTCTTTGCCCTGGTTGTGGGAGCCCAGCCAGTCAGCTATGATGCTATGGGAGTCAGACATGGAACTGGAGCAGGATGGGTAATTGTTAGGGCGTCTAGTGCACAGAGTGGGCCGAGCACGGTGTCTGTGCACAGTGCTGAAGCTGGGTCGGGCTCGTGTTCCGCGCCTGACATTTGGCTCCAACATAGGATCTTTTACATCCACCAGTGGCAACCCAGCCTCTGTCTTCATGGTGGCCATATGCTCTGTTGCCTTCTCCACCACTGACTGCAAGCTGTCCAGTACCGGGCCCTCAGTCAGGAAATCCAGGAAGCTGCCGAAGGTCTGAGGGCACTTAGGGTTTTGCCAATAGCCCTGGTTCACTGATGGTGGGTGTGGGACATGTCCCAGTTTTAAGGCTGGACCCATTTCTGGCAACAGTGGTTTCTTGGGTAGCTGGACCTGAACAGAAAGTCTAGTCACAGCAGGCAGGGTGCCCTGCAAGGGAAGGGCTCTGGAGTTTTCCCAGGGTGCTACTAGTAAGTGGGTGGGAATTCAGCAATGGAAGAAACTTTTTTTCTCTCTCTTTTGTTGGTGCTGGGTCTTGAGCATGCTATGCAAGTGCTCAACCATTGAATTGAATTTTAAAATGTTTAAATAACATTATTTACTTATCTATTTACTTATCTATTTGTGTGTGCGTGCACATAGGCATGCATGTGTGTGAATGAGTGTGTGCCACAGTGAACAGGTGGAGGTCAGAGGACAATTTGTGGTAATTGATTCTCTCTATCCACCATGAGGGTCTTAGGGATCAAACTCAGGTCATCAGGCTTGGCAACAAGCGCCATTTATTGACTGAGCCATCTTCACCCACCAGCCCTGAATTGCAGTCTACAGTCATGGGATCCTCAACTACCTCCACGCAGTGCACACAACTGCCCTTCTTGGGCTCAGTTTCCTTCTCTGCAAAGTGGAAGTCTATTTAGAGTTGCCCTGAAGGGTCCCCAACACCAACATTTCACTTATGTAAGGCCTGGCTGAAAGCCTGAAAGTGGGATTCTGTGTTCACACATCATGTGAACCAGCAATCCTGCGAACCATCTCTCTCTCCACCTCCTCCTCTCCCCCTAGCACAGGCCTGCCCTTATTTTCGTGCTGCACTTGAGGTCCTGAGCCTGCTTCTCCAACTTCAAGTTGACTCCATACTCCCTCTCTGGGTTCCTAGGCCATCCAAGTTCCTCTGTTGTGGCTGGAGAATCAAAGTGGCAGTGATCTGGGCCTAGCAAGCTGTCGTTAAGGGAAGTCAAAGCTACAATAAGGACTTCCCTAAGTGACCCTGTGAGATCTACTGGAAATTAGAAAGCTGAGGGAAGTGGTCCAGATAACTAGTGTCAGGGCGGCTGGGCATACTTACCGGAGCTATGTATGTTCTATGACCCGCCTCGTCATCAGCCAGGTATCCTGAGTGGTGGCAGTGCCTGGCCATGATGTGGAGACTTGCTCCCTGTCTCCTCTCTCAAGTTCCGGAGCACAGATGCAGACTCTTCTGCATGGGGTGGGGAGAAGAAGTGATCCAGGCCTCCGCAGATCCAGGCTATTCCCATTGGGTCGGTGGCCCTAAAACCCACCTTCATACACACCACCCTTCCTCTGCGTCGACGCGCCAGGCTTCTGCGAATTATCCCTTTCCCAAGTGGTGGCCACCTGTCTGCAACAGTGTCTGGGTCGGGGAGTGTGCCCAGCCCTCCCCGGTGCCCTAACCTGCTCACCAGTCACCGCTGTACTTCTTGTGGTTCGCGCGGTCAGCACGCTTTTATGGACTACTGCACAGAGCCCTGGAGTCGTTCCACAGCTTCCCAGCTTGCTCATTTACATACTTCGTCCTGATTGGTTAACAACGGGCCACTCGCTGACTAGCTTCCCCGACACAATGGTTGGGGGTGGGGCCCACCTTGGCTCCTCCCCCACCGCCCTGGACTCACTCTATCCTGCTTAAATTTTCTGGTAACCAGAGGCCTGGACGTACTAATAGATCCTCTTCATTCTGCCAGGAGGTCTGAACCTGAGGCTCGGATCTCTGATCCTCAGGGCAAAAGCCAATGTTCCACTGTGACACAAACACTTTCCTTAGCTCTTTCCTGGTGGCTGCACAGACTTGGTCCTTCTCTGTCGGCTTCCTTCTAGGGGACTCTTTCCTCATTCAGTGTGGACGACCCAGTATCCGACATGGGTCATCTTCCTTTTGTTAGTCTTCATGGGAGCAGTGGAGAGTCCTGGCTTTCAGCACAGACCGAACTTTAATTCCTGTCGCTGCTGGTTCTTGTTGGTGTGACTAAACATCTCAGCACTGGCTCCTCTGTGAATTGAGTTGAGCGTCCTTCCACCAGGAACTATGGGGATTACAGGAAACCTTAAAACACACTTGGTGGCCTATAGAACCCATATAATCTTACCTCTTTTCTTTCCCCCTTCATCCCAGATAGGCTGTCATCCCCAACATATTCATAGCAAGCCCACACTAGATGCCATTATTATTATTATTATTATTATTATTATTTTGTCTACCAGCTGGCACTTTTTTTTTTTTTTGGTTTTTTTGAGACAGGGTCTCTCTGTAGCCCCAGGGGACCTGGAACTCGTTACTTAGACCAGGTTGTTCTTGGCCTTGAACTCAGAGATCCACCTGCCTCTGCTTCCTGAGTGCTGGGATCAAAGGCATGTGCTATCAGGCCCGGCTCCAGCTGGCACTTCTTTAGGGCAGGAACCAAAGCAGTCAACCCTAATCTCTAATAATTCCACTGTTCAACACAAGAGGAGCTTAGTTGCTTTCTCTTTCCAATCTATGGACTTCAGGGCCTAAGGGCCTCTGCTCTGTCCTGGAGCAGCTTCCTAGTGGGGCATACTATAGTGGCTGGTTGAGGTCTGATGGTTCAACAGTCACTAGGATTGGACACGGCAGTGTTTATGCCAAGAAGTTGGGTGAAAGGCTCTCTGAGGCCTCCAACCCTTACAAGGCACCACAAGGTACTGCAGTGCTCAACCTCTACTCATCCCTCTCTGCCTCTGATCCTGGAGGGCCTATGAGCACCAGAGCAGATCAGGTCCAGAGCTTCAGAGGTCAGTCCCTGCTCCACTTCTCTCTTCAAATGTCAGTTTCCTTAACTGTAAAACAGAAATGAAATTACCAGTCTCATAAGCTGGACCCACACTTTCCATAGTGAAAAATCAACACAGGCTGGGGATGTGGCTCAGTTGGTAGAGTGCTTGTCTAGTATGCATGAAGCCTTGAGTTTGATCCCCTCACCACATAAACCACACATGGTAGCACACACTTGTAGTCTTATCACTGAGGAGGTAGAAGCAAGGGTATCAGAATTTCAAGGCCATCCTCACCTGCATAGTGAGGTCAAACTGAGATACATGAGACTGTGTTTCAAAAAATAAAATCAAGACAGTAACATCACAATGCAAACTCTGACTGTCATCATGGTGATAACTGGTAAGCCATGGGTAAGGAAGACTTTTCTGGACAAACAGAAAAAAAGTGAGGTTATGAACATAAAAGTTTGCCCGAAGTTCAAGATGGAAATGAGCTGATGTTTTTTCCAATGAATGCACTATATGCATAATCATTTTTGTTGTTGTGTAGAAAGCTTTTATTAAGAAAAAGCTAGGCATGCTAACACACTTTTAATCCCAGTACTCGGGAGGTAGAGGCAGGTGGACCTCTGTAAGTTTGAGGCCAACCTGGTCTATATAGCAAGTTCCAGATCACCCACTGCTACACAGTCAGACCCTGTCTCAAAAACCAAAAAGAAAAAAGGCTCCCCATAGGAAAATCAGTGAAGAACAATTTGAAAGTATAAAACAGCTAGTGACATGAAAGGTTCATAGGCACTGCATAAAAATAAAAGAAACATTACAAGAATGAAACAATAGGATCATCTTTGAGTGGTGAAGAAGTGGATGTTGTTTTTCTTGAAAATACTGGAAGGACAGTACACTGCCCAGAAAGTTAGCAGTGGTAAGCTCTAGGAAGAGCGAGGGAAATTATTCTTCAATATGTCCTTCGTTTTTGTCATTAAAAAAAAAAAAAAACTTTTCAAAACAATTTTGCAGTCAAGGAAGGACGTCAGAGCACAGTGGGCAAGGGCCTTTGCAGGACCCGCAGGAGACCTCTAGGGGGCGAGAACAAAGGCGGCGTGCAGTGGCATTTAGCCGTGTGCGTCAGGCGGGGCCTCGACAGCGTTCAAGGGCGGGGTCTGGATTCTCCGTCCAGCCCCTTCTCCTCCGGTCTCAGGCCAGGGTTCGAGGCGGCCATGGCCCGGCCGCGGGTGCTGTTGGTTGTCACTGCGGATGACTTTGGTTACTGCCTGAGGCGCGACGAGGGCATCGTGGAGGCCTTTCTGGCAGGCACCGTGACCAGCGTATCCCTGCTGGTCAACGGCACGGCCGCAGAGAGAGCAGCGGAGCTGGCCCGCAAGTGAGGGTGGCCCCCACCGGAGCGGGCGGGTTTCGGGGCGCCCCGCCCCACTGCAGCCAGTGCTGGCTCTCGCGCTCCGCCCGCAGGTACAGCATTCCCACGGGTCTCCACGCCAACCTGTCTGAGGGCCGCCCGGTGGGCCCGGCCCGCCACAGCGCGTCGTCGCTGCTCAACCGCGAAGGCTTCTTTCTCGGCAAGATGGGATTCCGGGAGGCGGTAGCGGCTGGAGATGTGGCTTTGTCCCAGGTGCGGAGGCGCGGCTGCAGGAGGATGCTCACGATGACCCTCAAAGCTCAGCCCCGAGGGTTCCGTGAAGTCCCTAGGGAAGGAGCGGGCTCGGATCCTGATACTGGAGCTGTCAGCGGGAGGCACCAGGCAGGGATCCTCCTCCGTGGCTGCTTCCAGAAGCTCAAGGTGTCTGTGCCCCTCCCTGCAGGTGCGGGAGGAGCTAGAGGCCCAACTCAGCCGCTTCCAGGAGTTGCTGGGCAGGCCCCCCACGCACGTGGATGGGCACCAGCACGTGCACGTGCTCCCAGGTATGGGGACTGACGCACCCAGCTTGGGGGGGGGGGCTTCCCGCCGGGATTGTAGGTCGATGTTTCCCGCTGATCTCGCCCCTTTGAGCCCGCTCCCCCTGCAGGCGTGTGTCAGGTGTTCGCCGAGGCGCTGCAGGCCTACCGGGTGCGCTTCACGCGGCTGCCGCTTGAACGCGGTGTGGGAGGCTGTGCCTGGCTGGAAGCCCCCGCGCGCGCCTTCGCTTGCACTGTAGAGCGCGATGCCCAGGCCGCCGTGGGCCCCTTCTCCCGCCATGGCCTGCGGTGAGCACGAATCCCCGCCCTATCCCCCATAGGTTCCAGTGAGTTCACCTGGTCATTTCCCAACCCAGAAAAGGATCAGAAATTGACCCGCTGCCCTGTCCCACCTAGCCCTTCGTGTCCTCTGGCCGCGCCGCTGATGCCCTGGCATTCACAGGTGGACCGACGTCTTTGTGGGCCTGAGCACTTGTGGCCGGCACATGTCTGCTTCTCGGGTCTTGGGGTCCTTGGCGCGGGCCCTGGAAGATATCCCAGCAGGCCACGCCCTGACTGCCGAGCTGATGGCACACCCTGGGTATCCCAGTGTGCCTCCAACTGGGGGCTGCGGTGAGGGCCCCGACGCTTTCTCCTGTTCTTGGGAGCGACTGCATGAGCTGCAGGTCCTCACAGCACCCACTCTGCGGGCTCGGCTTGCCCAGAATGGTGTGCAGCTCTGCGCCATTGACGACCTAGATTCCAAGAGGCCAGCGGATATAGTCCCTTGTGAGGCAACTCTAGAATCCTGCCTGGAGTCGTCTCCATCCTGACATAGTCGGCCAGCGAGGCACTAATGCCTCTCACTGTCGGAAAAGGTCAGGCCTGAGCTCTGGCCCAGGGTCTGACTTCTTAAGGTGAGATACCACGAACCCTGTTCCGGGGTCCTTGTAGCTTGGGCAGCCCCTCCTGGCTGCAAGCAGGCCCAGACTGTGACATCTGGACCTTAGACCTGCAGAATATTTAGTGCCAACCCAATGTTGCAGTGTAAACACTTGTTTAGGAGCAGTGAGAGGTTGGTGTGTTAATAAAATAATGTCTTTCAGATTTGGGTGGTTTTATAAATGGTGCTCAGGACACATTCACAGAAATAATAGGCTCCTCCGTGGCTCAGACCAAGAAAATAGGCAGACACATCATACTCTAATTTTGTTCATGCTTAGATGTTTTTTTGCTTTGCTTTAAAGTCTTGTTTAGCTTTTTAAAATTTTTATTACATGCATTTGTGCTTGGGTATATATAGAGGAAGCACACATATGCCATGGTGCATGTGTGTTTTGTTTTGATCTTTTTTTTGAGACAAGGTCTCTGTAGCCCCAGCTGGCATGGAATTTGTAGTCCAGGCTGGCCTTGAACTCACAGAAATCCACCTGCCTTGGCCTCCTGAGTGCTGGGACTAAAGGCGTGCACCACTGTTTTGTTTTTGACATGGGGTCTTATGTTGCTCAGACTGGCCTGAAATCCTGGACTCAAGGGATCCTCCAACATCAACTCCCTAAATAGCTAGGATTGCTAGAATGAACCACTGTGCCCTAGCAATACTTACATTTTTTAATTTTTAGGAAGGAGAGTACAGGTAGTTGTCTGACTGCTGTTTCCAGGAGGCATATAACCTCAATTTTATTTTTTTGAGACAGGGACTCCCTATAAGTCCTAGCTGGCCTGGAACTAGGTAGGTAGAACAGGCTGGTCTAATCTCAGATATTTACCTTCTTCTGCCTCCTGAGTGCTGGGATTTGTTTTGTTTGGTACTGGGGATTAAACCTATGGTCTTACACATACATGCTAGGTGATAGGGTCTTGTGCATCACAGGCTGGCTTTGAATTTGCTATATAGCCAAGGATGATGCCAAACTTTTGATCTTCCTGCCTCTACTGCCCAAGTGCTGGAATTACAAGAATGCACCACTATGCTCAGTTTATGTGATGCTGGGGATCAAACTTAGGGCTTTGTGCATGCTATGGAAGCACTCTATTAAGCTACATCCCTAACCCTTAATTTCTTGTGCCCTGAAGAGTAGCAGAGCAGGGCTTTGAACCTACTTGCTTATTTGACACAAGCATTAGGTCATGGCTTACATCCATCCTGGGATGAGGGGAAGGGCAAGCAAGCTCTGAGTCTTAAGAGATGCTGGGGAGCTGTGTGGCTTTCTGAAGGGATAAGGGTGGACTCTTGTGCTCTTCCTTGGATCTATTCCCTTGACTAGCTTCAGCCCTTTTGCTGGCTACATGCTTCTCTTCCATCCTAACCTTCCTTGACACTGACAGCTTCAACACCTTCATGCTTGTGATCCAGAGTTTTTACTTTTATGTGTATGAGTGTATTGCCTGCATGTATCTAAGTGCACCCGTGTCGTGCAAAGACTTCAGAGGCCAGAAGAGGGTGCGAGATCCCTGGAACTGGAGTTACAGTTGTTAGCTGCCATGTGGGGTGCTGGAAATCAACCCCAGGTCTTCTGGAAGAACAGCAAGTGTTCTTAACTGCTGAGCCACCTCGGCTATCTATTATTCTCCTCCTTCCCTTGGCCCCCGAGGTCTGACCACACTCCTGTAGGCTGCTAGCTTTGGAAGGCACTCATGTTTGGAAGACTATCGCATGTTTCCACAGAGGCAGTTCCTAGGAGTGCACTTCTGCAGTGGAGTGAGAGAAAGCTGAGACTCTGGAGAAACATGTGGGTAGGCAAGAGGGAAACAAGATTTTGCAGTGTGCTAGGTGAAGCTACTGCCATCCACCAGAGGACAGATAATCAGCAAGAAGGCTAAGAACAGCCCTTAGGACTTGAGCATTTGGATGGAGGCCCATCAACCCTCACTACAGAAGGGAAAGGATGTTGAGGGCTCACTACACAGTGATTTCTCCATCTATTCCATCTACTCAGTGCCTATGTATGGAGGGTCTGCATTATGCTAGGACACAGCCTGACTTACAAAGGACAGGTCATTGTCATCTGGACCACAGGGGTGGGGTGGGGGTGTGGGGGCCAGCAGGGATAAGGCTCTCCAGAAGAGGTGAGGTGATTTTCTTCCCTGGACTTCAGGCATTAGTGCCAGGTAAGTCTGGTCTGTGCTGTCTGGTTCCCCAGGATCTCTGTCTTGAGTCCATTCATTCCCATTACCCAGGAAATGGCCATTTACCAGGCATAGCCTGGGCTGGGCACCATGCTGCACTAAAACTGTCTCAGGGTAGTGCTGTTTGCTCACACTGCACACTGAGGCAGTGAGGAAGAAAACTCTGGGCAGGGCAAGAAAAACCAAGACTGATTCTGGCTTCTTCCTTGACTAGACTGCATAGCATGTGTGGAAACACAACACTCTCTTAGGACTACAGGACAGAATAAAAGCTGAATGGCTTACAAGATGCCCAAGTGGCAATGAGGAAATCACAGGCCTTTGGTCAGAGAAGGCTCAGGGAGCGCCAGGGTAACAGCCAGGCTGCAGTGGGCACAGGAATCATAAACTAAATACTAAACAATGAAATCTTGAAATGGGGAAGGCGTAGGGACATAGGTGAGGGCAAAGGAATTGCAAGTTAAGTCCAGTGGTGCCCTCAGGAGTAAAATGATGTCCCAGGAAGTTTCCATCAAGACCTACAGACCCAGCTGACAAGGCAGGCCTAGTTTTATCCAGTGCTCATGTGTCACAGGCCTGGCTGGTGCTGTACTGCCTTAGCTGCCAGCTGTCCTGGGAACAGTTTCTGCCTGTGACTGAGGGAAAAAGACCTCAGACACATATTCTACATGAGTTCAAAGACCTTGATCAAACCACCCTTTTCCACTTGTTCTTGCCTCTGCTAAATGCAGTTCTCTTTCCTTTCTTGGGGCTACAGTTTGGAAATGACAGATCCATGTGTCAGTCACTGACCCTTTGACATTCAGAGTCTTTCCCAGTGTTGACTACCTCATCTGCTTCTACCTAGTGAGGCAGAACATCTGTATGCCTTTTTCAGAGGCTGTGAAGCAGAGGAATTAAGAGGCCCAGCTACCACTTTCAAGTCTCTAAGAGCATAGGTTCCCAGTAAAGCCCATTCCCAAAGGAAGAAACTCATACATCCAAACCAGTGTTGGAGAGCATTTTTATTAAGGACAGAATGGGGTCGCAGCATCTTAGAAAGCCTATTCTCTGCCATTGTGGAAGGGGTAGGGCAAGGACCCGGGCACTTTAGAGAACCAAAGAGATGTGAATTCCTGAGCCAGCCTGGGTCAGCGGTGGCTGGCTGGCTGCTCCATAGCTCTCCTCTTCTCCAGAGGATCCAACTCTTCAATTGTGGAGCAACCAGGACTGGCTACCAGCTTGCTCAAAGCCTGCTCCAAGGCAGGGCTGGAAGAAGCAAGCCACATAAGCCCAGGGAGGATTACGCATTGACTCTGAGCCAGGCCTCTGCTGCCAGGGCAGGCCATGGGTGTCAATACTGGGGTTAAGAGTCCCTGAGAGGGGCTGCCGGCATAAGGGTACCCTCCTACAGTGAGCAGAGAGCAGTGAGGGTGAACAGGCAGGCAGAGCTAAGCAATAGGACAATTTCCAAGATGGACTACTGGATTCAGAGAAGCAACAAGAACAAATGGTGGTTTGTTTGGATAGCTTCTGACAGAATTTGGCATTTTATTACAAATCTGAATGTTAGTGAGATAAAATCCATTGTCACCTTTCTGCCAGTGAAGAGACATGGAAATGACTGCCCAATGCTCTTGCCATCCTGGGCGCATGCAAGTCTCTAGAAACCTGCCCCTTGCATACCTAGGACTAAAGAAGCCTAGTTCATTTACGTACCACATAGGCCACGTACCCAGACAAATAAATAGTACTACACTGCCTGAGTGGTCCATTCTCACTTCTTTACAGAAAGTGTAAGACCCAGGAAGCCCTCAAGTTATAAAACTAGAGTAAAAGCAGAAAGCAAGATTTCTTGAAACCATCTTATCCACAGGATCTTACCCCCCTGACCCCCAGCAGAAGTACATTGGTGATACACAGGCGACTGAACCATCAGCTTCCTCAGGGTGTCAGAGTGCCATGTGTTCACTATTGCTTCAGGGATAGTCCCATTTGCCTTGAAAAGACATTAACATTCAAATCTTGACAAAGTTCATCTGATGATAAATTCTAAGGTCAATTTTTATTTCTACAAAAAAAGGCAATCAAAACAATATAAAACACATTGAAAGGATATTACTGAGTGAGCTTCAAGTGGAGCTTGACTCTGCAAAAGGCTGTGAGTCCAAAGGGAGAGGGAAGGCCATCCTGTTCCTGGACTGGACCAGCAGTTGCTCTGAAGGAAGGGGCAGCTGGCTATAAAGCAGAGTCCCACCAACTCCAATCCCGCAAAGGGTCAAACCATGGAGAGGGGGCAGTGGGGTTGCTGTGCTGAGGAGTTGTGGAGCTCCTTGGCACATTCCGACGGAGCTCAGTGATGGAGAATCTTGAACTTTCAAAAGGATATTCTGGCTTTTGCTTTTGCCTGTGATAACCAGCAGATCTTCTAACACGGCTGCAGGGAAGGGTGCTAACCTTTGGCCTCAGGAGCCTTTCTGGAGAGAAATTCATCACACAAGTGCACATTGTCCTCTACTGACAAACCCTCCCTCCCAGGTCACTACAAGCCTGGCATTTCAGGATACCCTACACAGGCCCAGCCAGGCAGTGTAACCATGGACATGGACAGTGGGGTTTGCCCACTGAGTCTGTTAATTGTGGAACCATTTAACTAAATTTTTATGTAAGTGGCTTCCCTTTACAAGGCTCTTTTTTTTTGGGGGGGGGGGTTGTTAGCAGAAGAAGTGTGGATATTTTCTTGTTTTATAATTTTTAAAAAGGATGTTATAAACTGGTATTAGGAGAATCTGAACTACCATCCATGGGGCAGTGTGACAGGAGAAGAGAAGCTGCTAGAGCCATTTCTTTATGGAGGAGCTGGGGCTTTGGCCTGGGGAAGTGAATAATAAACTGAATGCAAGAAATTGGGAGTTATAAGAGGAAAGGAGGAGGGGAGGAAACCACAACCTTCTTTTTTTTAAACCTGGGCTAACTGTAACTTGAAGATTTGGGGTAAATTTGGGCAAGAAAAGAAATGCCATTCTTTTGAAGTAGACTAAAGCAGTGATTTTAAAACAAAGAAAGCAGAACTAGAACATCTGAAATTTTTAATCCTTTCTTTACAGGTTACCTAGACCACTTTTGATTAAGAAAACTGTAGAAAGTTAGTAACTGCCACAAGCGAACGCCAGGTGGTGGCATGTGTCAATTCCACAGAGTCCTGTGTGCGGGTGTCTGAATGCACTGCTTGGGGTCTCTGCTCACACTAGCTGGAATCATTCACAGCAGATTTTAGTCCACAGGTCGCTTTTCCCCATATTTCTTTGTAAACTCTTCAGCGTTCTTACAGAATTTTTTACGGTCCTTAGAGTATTCTTCAGCTAGGTCAGCCCGGAGTGGGTGCTCGGGCTGGGGGTCGTTCACCAGTGCTATGAGGGACTGGATTACTGCCAAGAGAAGGATAAGGCATTGGGAGTTAAAACAGACTTAGAAACAGCACAAGAGGCCACAAATCTCAGGAAAGAAACTATGATTTCAACACTGATTTATACCCAGTATATGCTTGCTTGGGCCTCCACCCCTGCCCCTATTCCTCTATTTGGGGCCAAGTGGTGCTTATCCCAGGCTGGCCTTATATTTATTAGATAGTTGAGGATGACCTTGAACTTCTGATCCTCTTGAGTGTTGAGACTATAATGCTGTGCCAACACATCTAATTATGTGGTGCTGAGATCAAACTCAAGGCTTGGGGCTTAAGAGATGACTCTGATTAAGAGCCCTGGGGGATCTTGCAGACGACCCAGGTTTAGTTCCCAGCACCCACATGGTAGCCAGTGACCATCCATAACTCCAGTTCCAGCAGATCTGATGCCCTCTTCTGGCCTCCTCAGGCACTGCACACACATGGTGTGCTTACATGCATGCAGGCAAAACACTCATATACATAAAAAAATAAAAATGTAAGCTCAGGGTTTTGTGCATGCTAGGCAGACTTTCTACCAATTGAGCTAGATCCCCAGCCCCACAGACTACTTTTAAGACAGAGCAGTCCCCTGCTTATTCTCTGACCTTTAGACTACAACCTTAATAAGTTAGGAGAAAGTGGGTGACAAACAGCCAACAAACAGCCCCTGGCCTCAGGACCACATATAACATACATTATACTGATAATCTGTCATGTTTGTTTGAGCTCACTGAGAAGCTGGCTCTGGAAGAAGGGTTGCCTACTCCACCCCCCCATTTCAGAGCCAAGCATGTCTATGTCAAGTGTTCCCTGGGCCCCTTATCTTGGATGGGCTACCCCTGCCCCCTCAATTCTGTGACAGAGTGGAGAAAAAAATAAGAACAGCTAGAGGGTAAGCCATTTCCAACTGAGCTTACTATTGTTTATCTCATGATATAAAAGTGCCTATAGTGGGAAGTTCAAAGTTCAGCCACAGAGAAAGCTCAATTGAAGCTGATTGCTTCAACTTCCCCAGTCAGTTTCTGCTGGATGTGGCGAATCACAGATTTTCTGATGTTGCTACTTGTTCTTTTACATGTTACCTTTCTGCTTTATTTGCTTTGTTTTTTTATTTGGAAGCCTCACCCAAGGGGACACACTGCTCTGCCCAGGTTCTCTCTATTGAAAACTCCAACTGACTGACTTAAAGGGGCTTCCTCAGTCAACTTCTGCTGGTATCGAGTGCCAGATTTGATGTTTTGCTATCATCCATCCTTCCATCCATCTCTTCTATTTATTCTCTTAAAAAGCAGTTTTTTATTTTTTATCTTTTATTTTTATTTTCTGTGTATGAGTGAGCACATTGTCTGCATGTAGGTAGGTGCACCCACTGTGTGCCATGCCTGCAGTTGTCAGAAGAGGGTGTCAGAAAAGTGTTGGATCCCCTGGAGCTGTTGTTAGCCATCATGTGGGTGCTGGGAATCAAACCCAAGTCCTCTGCAAAAGCAGTTAAGTGCTCTTAAGTGCTGAGCCATCTCTCCAGCCCCATTTTTATTTTTTTTATGGTATGAGTGTATTGCCTGAGTGTATGTAGGTGTACCCATATCATGCTATGTCCATGGAGGTCAAAAGAGGGTGTCAGATCTCCTGGACCTGAAATTACAGATGGTTGTTGGCCATGATGTGGGTGCTGGGAACCAAACCTGAGACCTCTGCAAGAGCAGCCAGTGCTCTTAACTGCTGAGCCATCTCTCTAGCCCCGCTATTTATTCTTTTACTTTGGTTTGCTGTATACTTAATATACTCACTCATTCATACCAAAATAAGGCTACTGTAAATCATTCTCCAGGCTGTACAGAATATTTGGGGATCTCCTGGCCCTAGTCAGTCCAATTCTCCTGTGGTCTGGAGACAGTAGGACTTGTTCACATTTATGCATGTCTGTACACAGGCAGGACTCGGTAGTGGGTCCCCACCCTGACCTGGTACTCAGCTCTGCATTCAGTTTAGGGCACAACTAATCAAGGTGACTGGGTGAGCACAAGAAAGAAATAGCTTATTATGGAGCCTCACCTGTCTGTGAGGAAGCCTTAGAAGAACACTAGGAGCTCCTGAGGCTGGGAGTGAGATCATGGGCACACTTTGTCCAGCCCCTAGAGCAACTACCAGTGGCATCAGACTATCAATACCATGGGCAAAAGTCATAGGAGGCTCAGGGAATGCACACAATGCTCCTCACAATGAAAAAAAGTGCTGGGCATGCTGGAAGGCAAGCCCTGGAACAAGCATAGTGAGGGAGTACAGAAGATAGGGATCAGCAGCAGGATGCCACCCATGCCTTCCCATACTCACTGCTAAACTGTCAGTACCGGCACCTTTAGAACACAGTGTTCCTTCCACACTTACATGTGCCCAGCTCAAGGGAGACTGCTAATGGCCAAAGATGCCAGTAGGGTGCAGCTGAGGGAACAAGATAGGAGGCAGGGAGGATGGGTAGCTGGGCATAGAGGGTAGACTGTAAAGAGTAGGCAAGAGCCAAGAACCTAGAAGATTCTCTGCAAACCAGGGTGGTCTCTAATTCAGTCTGCACACCACTAGGAGATACTGTCATGTCCACCACAAACACTACCTCTAAAGGAAGCAAGTCCTAGGAGAGGGCTTTTGAGTCTTTATTTAAAGATTTGTCTTTTCTAGATTTTATTTTGTTCAATTGAAAAGAAATGATGATAAAACTATTAAGTTCCTATGTTCCCAGAATCAATTCTGTGTGCTATATATCCACATATAGCCTATGAACCAATATTATTGTTTAGTGTATTTCCTCAAATTGCCTCATTTTTTTCTTATTTATTTCATTTGTTGTCCTCCTTCCCACCCCAGTACTGGGGATCAAACCAAGGAATGTTTTTTCACAGCAATAAAGAAGCCAAACTAAGATACTACTCTTTGAGATGTGACTTCTTTGAGATGAGCCACCAAAGCCACTCATGCCTACCACAGAAGTCCTAACCCATGTTCTAGGGTATGCATTTCCTTTCCTAAGCATTTCTCTTTCTATTAACCCCCATTAATCTATATTAAACTTTTCTTCTAATAAATTCCAAATGTTTCATACTGGCTCATCCTGAAATTCTTTGTGTGAGAGTAGTTTATGTGTTTACATGTGTGTGACATACATGTTGTCCTGAAATTCTATTCTCAGCTAAGCCAAGAATCCTGCCTTAACCTGAGTAGAGGTCTCTTGAAGAAAAACAAAACAAGACAAAAGTGAAGCTGCTGCTACAGCATAGAGCTTTGTCTCAGGTCTGCACCTTACTGCTGGCCGACACTACAAAGCCTCTGCTCTCTGCACAGTGTTCTTGGCTCAGCAACACTAGACAGTACTTTAACACTTCCTATACTCACAAGGCTTCCCCATACCCAGTACTGGGAACTGAACCCAGGGCCGTGAATATGCAAGGTTCTCCCCACTAAGCTACATCCTCTAATTTTATTTATTTATTTATTTTTAAATTTTGAGATAGGATAGGGTCTTGCTAATGCAGCCCAGACTGACACCTCAAACTTGAAATCTTCCTGAGTAGCTGAGAGTACAAGCATTTACAACTATGCTCAGTTGGGGGCACCAACGTGCAAGTGTAGCAGTAAAAAGACCACTGTTTACAGCATGAGAGCGTTAACAAGATACAGCCTTGCACTGTTCAATCTCATAACCTCAACTGAGAACATGGATGCAGAAAGACAAAAGTTTTCTTTATTCGACATATCTGTTACTGATCACAAAAGTGGCATCTTGATTGGGAGGTTACAAAGTAGGCAAATTCCTAAATCTAGAATCGGTAACTGGACATAGTGACTCATGGCCAAAACTATAGTACTTAAAAGGATGGGGTAAGAGGATCCTCAGTTTGAGGCCAGCCTGGGATACATAGCTAGAATTTGTGCATAGTGAAGTTCAACTATAAACAGAATCACACTTTATGTTGTCTTATGTGAGTAGTTATTTCAGTTAGCACAATATTTTCAAGGTTTGTATATTTTCTAGCATGATTATACTTCATTATTTTTATGGCTGAATGGTACCACACCATATGGATATAGTACACTTTGTGTTTCCTTTCACCAAAGGATGGATATTTGGATTATTTATCCTTTTGGCCTAGTATAAATATAGCTACTATGAACATCAGTGCAAAAGTACTTCAGGCTTAGCAGGTAAAGAAACTTGTCTCTAAACCTCAAAGAAAAAAAAAAATCAGTTCCTTCAAACTGTCCTCTGAACTCCACATGCATGCAGCCCACACTTGTATGCATACACAAATATAAATAAATAAATAAATTAATTAATTAATTAATTAATTAATTAATTAATTAATTAAATGAATGAATAAATGAATAAATGTAACTTTTGGGAAAATGTGTATATCTATGCTTTCACTTCTTTTGGACACATACAACTAAACATGGACTTGCTAGATCATATGAACATGTTTTCATGCTGTTTATTCCATTATGTCTAATTTTATTCTAAGAACATTTTATTCTTATTTATGTGTAAGTGTGTGTACATGATAGAATGCATATGTGCATACAGATGTCTGTGGAGACCAGAAGATGGCCCCAGATCCCCTGGAGCTGGAGTTACAGGCAGCTGTGAGCCACCCAATGTAGCTGCCTGGAACCAAACTCAGGTCCTCTACAAGAGCAGCAAGTGCTCTTAAACCACTAAACCAACTCTCCAGCCCCTATTCTGAGAATATTTAACTTTATTGTTGACAATCTTAACATTTTTATTTCTCTGTACCTATCTAATAAAACATGACTTTAAGACTCTCTAGACAGAATAACCCCAAAATAGTCTTGAGATCAATGAATAGATGAATGATGTGACCCAGAGGTTGTTAAGTTAAACAGACCAAAGAATGTGAAGCTGGATCCAAGAGTTGTTGTTAATAAAAACACTGAAGTTTCTAAGGACGAGGGCAGGAGAAAACAACCAGGAGCAGATGCTAGGATGACACAAGTGATTATATGTATATTTCACAATTTAAGAAAAAAAATGAGAAAATTCCAAGACATTTAAAGTAGTCAAGCAATAAGACCAGACAAACAAGGTCACAAAGCACAGGAGGATCTGTGCTCCTCCTGTGGGCACAGTACTGCCACATATAGGAGACAAAGTGGCTCATATAAGCCTGTAGAGCCACTGGCCCTCTGCTCTGCCTATATACCCACCTTTCCCACCCTGCATACCCACCCACTTCTGCCACCTCAACTTCTGTAAGACATAATCTGTTTCCCTGTTCAAGACTGGAGTTAGTTGACCAACAGTATCCAGGAGAAGAGACACTATACCAGTACCAGGACTTCACTCCATAAGTGGCAGAGCAACTTCTACTTTCCACCTGGACCTCCACCATGCTATTAAGAGATTCAACCCACTTCATGGAGAATAAGCACCACAAAAAGAACTAAGTGCCTACCCAACACCAACTGCCACACATGTGAATAATGCTCAATGGCAAAAGCCATTCCAACATGAGTGCTTGAGTGTCCCCAAGAATGACCACCTACAGAATAAGCGATAAACTGCTACTTTAAGCCATTAAGTTTCAATGTGGGTTGCAATACAGCCACAGGTAATAGAAATATAAGAATGTGGCATCAAGTGCCATTCTTGACTGAGAGGACAAATCAAAGCCACACTACAAAAACTCAAGAGTAATTTCTAGGAAGAAAACTGTCTCAAATCACAAAACTGCCCCAAATCACAAAACAGTAATTCCATCATTATATGTAGAACCTGTACCAAATTTTTACCTTAAAAATCTTTAATCAGCCAGGTGTGGTGGCACATGCCTTTAATCCCAGCACTCGGGAGGCAGAGGCAGGTGGATCTCTGTGAGTTCAAGGCCAGCCTGGTCTACATAGTGAGTTCCAGGACAGCTGGGGCTACAGGGAGACCCTGTCTCAAGCCAAGGACACTACTGGCCATGATGGCCACCCGCACTAACATGCACATACCTATGCACAGACATACATAACTAAAAATGAATCTCGCTGGGTATGGTGGCACACACCTTTAATACAGAGGGACCCAATCTCAAAAAGACCAAAAAAAAAAAAATCTTAAATCAGTAAGTAAATTTTACAAAAAAACTGAAAACCCCTAAATTTTCTGGCTCATTAGAGGGAAGGGGAGCGCAACCCCAACTTGAAATGACAGTGTTTGAGCTATACACCTGACAGAGAAAACAGGACTCAGAAGTGGCAAAGCATTCATATCCACCCCCTGTGAGTCTCCCTAGCCCTGGCCCCCATGCCTAAGTCTTCATAAACATCAGTTTTTGTATATCTGAGGGCAAAGCCTACTAGAGACTATTCTCTGACTGGGTGTCTAGTATCTATTCTTGTCAGCTACTAGGTTATGAGGGCCAGTGGTTGGCTTTCATAGGGAAAATTTCTAAGATGTGAGGTTCAGTTTTTCCTGTGAAAAGCTTTCAATTCTATCTTCCTAGGCTTCCACCAAAAATGACTACCTCAGTCACTGAAAAACTACCTGGAGTCTCACTATGACCACATCCATCCACACTATGTGATCTTAACAGATGTCTCATTGGTTCAGTTACTTATTAGGAAAAGCCACGAAAAATAATGAAATTAGGGCTTCCTAAGAAAATATTGACTTAAGAAAAATTAGAGCCAGGTCCGTGGTGGTGCCAATCTGTAATCTTAACACTTGTGAGGTTTAGGTAGAAGCATTGTGAGTTTGAGGTCAGCCTGTGCTACATAGTGAGTTCTAGACCAGTGTGAGATTTATGATGAGACTTTTGTCTCATAAAACCTATATAAATAAATAAATACATACTAGACATAATTCAAAGAAAGTCTTGCTACTTCCTGTATCAAGAAATGGACAAGAAGGAGAACAATTATGATATTGAATCAAATAGTTTTCCAAGAAAACTGTGCCTGTGTGTATTAACCAACATACATGAACATACACAGCTATATCCAGTTCTAAAGAGTTACAGACACGGGTCTGGCTTTCATCCAGGAATATAATCCTCAAGTCTGAGTTTGTCTTGTCCTGAACCCTCAAATCATACAATAGAAATTATAGGACTTGGCTCATGACCTTCTATTAGCTAACTTTCTTCCAGGCTAATTCCAGAGACTAACTACCGTATATACCCACCCTCACTTCCCCAACTAGGCACCATCACAATCTTTTACTACCTCCAGGGGCCAGTGTCCATACCCTCCACTGGGCTGTAAGCAGCAGGGATGGGTCTCCTCAGTATCTGTACAGTTAAGACAGTTAACTGAGCTGAAGCAGCCCCACAGGATTGGTAGAGTATCACTAGTACTTCTACATGCACTTGAGTTGCTAAGGTATTATTTCTCTTCACTGTTTTATGGGGTATTAGGGAGAACCTTTAAGAACCTATCACAAAGCAGCATTCCTAGAAGACAGCCCTACCAAAGGCAAAGAGGAACATGCCTCACCTTGGTCAGTCTTGGTCGCTGGCTTCCAGTTTTCAGCACTAATTACTGGCAGGCAAACCTGCCCCTTTTCATCAATGTTAGGGTGGTAGATCTTCGTTTTAAATGTGATCTTCGGTGGTTTGAATGGATACTCTGCTGGAAAGTTTATTTCAATTCTGAAGGCCCCCTTATCATATGGGGGGTTATCCTGGAAGAAAAAAAGAAATCAAAATGAACACACTAGGGCTGGAGAGATGATGGCATAGCCATTAAGAGCACTTGCAGCTCTTGGGACCCAGGTTCAGTTCCCAGCACTGACATGGCAGCTCACAAAACTGTATGTAACTCCAGTTCCAAGGTATCTGACTCCTTTTTCTGGCTTCCTCAGACACTACATGCACATGGTACACTCATATACATACAGGCAAAGAACTCATACACAAATAAAAATAAATAAATCTTAATAAAACCCATGAAAACACCATTCACACATTAGTGGCCAAGCCAGGGCTGTTTTAATTGTTCATCAGAAGATAATTCCCAATGGTGCACTGACTGAAGCCCTGCCACCTGTAAAGCAACCCAACAACCAACCAAGAGGGTATATTTGTTACAATCTATAAACCTAGAGTGATATAACAGTATCACTTGGAGTCTATGGTTCCACTTTAGGTTCACTACTGGAACATGTATATTTTATAAGTTTTGTGTAGTTATCATACCTGATAAATGGAATCAAACCTTGTATAATTGCTATGGTCTGAATGTTTTTGTCTTCCCCAAATTCACCCATTAAAAGCTAATCATAGAGCTGGGTGTAGTGGCAAACACCTTTAATCCCAGCACTTGGGAGGCAGAGGCAGGCTGATCTCTGTGAATTCAAAACTAGCATGGTCTACATAGCAGGTTCCAGGCCAGCTAGGGCTAGATGGAAACCCTTTCTTTAAACAAACAACAAAAGCAAATCACAGGGTAGGAGCTAGAGAGATAGTTCAGTGGTTATGAATATTTGATGTTCTTGCATAGAGCCCGGGTTCAGTTCCCAGCATCTACATGGTGGCTCACAACTGTCTGTAACTGCAGCCCCAGGGGATCTGATGCCCTCTTCTGGCCTCCTTGGACACCAGGCATGCATGTAATGTGTGCGCACGCGCGCGCGCGCGCGCGCACACACACACACACACACACACACACAGCACTCATACCCTTTTTTTTGTTGTTGTTAAAGTCAATCACAGGTCAGTGAGATGGATCAGCGAGTAAGGATGCTTGTTGAGCAAGCCTAGTGGCCTAAGTTCAATCCTCAGAACTCACATGTTGCAAGGACAGAACTGATTCTACAAAGTTATATGTGCTATGACAAATATGCTGAGACACATGCATAATGTGCACATATGTGCACACAAATAGTACTAAATAAAAATTTAAAACAACAACAATAAATCACCAGGGTTGAGAGTATAGCTTAGTGGTAGAGGATATGCTTACTATACCCAAGGACCTGGATTCAAACCTTAGCACCAAACACCCCCACAACAGGTATAGAAACACATAATCAACAATGAATGCAGTATCAGAACATGGAGCCAGTAGGATTAGAGCCCTTATGAAAGAGGTCCCTAGAGGGCTGACATGTCCTTTCTACTATATGACAAAGAACCAGGAAACTGGCAACCATCAACTACTATATCTGCCAATGCACTGAACAAATTTCCCAACCTCTAGTACTAGCAGAAATGTTTCTGTTGTTTTATGTGTATGAGTGTTTTGTCTGCACGTATGTAAGTGTACCCATGTCATGCAATGCCCTCAGAGGACAGAAGGTGGCACTGGATGCCCTGAAACTGGAGTTGTGAATGGTTGTTAGCCTCTGTATGGGTGCTGGGAAGAGAATCTGGGTCCTCCACAAAAGCAGCCAGTGCTCTTAACCACTGCTCTCCAGCCTTCTGTTTCTGTTATTTATAAGCTACACAGCTTACACCATTTTGTTATAGTACTCTAAATGAACATAGATAATAGCTTTTCTGAGTAGTTTCTTTCATAGTAATATGCATTTAGTGCTGTCTTCAGTGCCACCTACTATTTATTTGTCTAAATGTGCCACGATTTATTCAATCATTACTTACTAAAGAACATTTTGGCTGCTTCCAAGTTTTGGAAATTATAAATAAATCTGCTACAAACATCTCTGTGTAGGTTTCTGTACAGATATAAGGTTTCAACTCATGGGAAAGGCACAAGGAACACAACTACTGGATTGTTTGGTAAGAGTATGTTTGGCTTAATAAGAAACTGCCTATATAGGGGCTGGAGAGGTGGCTCAATGGTTAAGAGCACTGACTGCTCTTATGTAGGACCCAGGTTCCAGTCCCAGCACCACACGGTATCTAACCACCCATAACTCCAGTTCCAGGGGATCTGACCTTCTGACCTCTTCAGGCATTGCACGACACAGTTGCACTTACACACATGCAAGCAACACACTCAAACAAAAAAAAATAAATTTTTTTTTAAAAAGAAACTTCCTGTGTTAGTCACGTTCCTCACCACTGTGCCGAAATACCTGACAGAAACAACTTGAGGAAGGCTTACTTGGGCTCACAGTTTCAGTGAGCTGTAGTCTATCACAGTAGGAAAGGCGTGGCAAGGGGAAGCATATGGTGGAGAAACTTTACACAAACTAGACTAGTAAGCAGACAAGAGAAGAACTAGAACCAGGACCAGACTAAAACCTTCAAAGTCCATTCCTAGTGAGCTACTTCCACCAGCCAGGCCCACTTCATAAAAGTTCCACTGCCTCCCAATATAATGCCACCAACACAGTGTTCAAACCATGAGATTGTGGAGGATAGCTCAATTCAAACAATAATACTGCCAAACTGTCTTTCAAAGTTCCATTTTACATTCATACCAGCACTGAATGAGCGTTCCTGTTGTTCCACACTCTCATGAGCATTTGGAGGTTGTTGGGGACTTCTGTTGTTTTGGGTTGTAGTCTTTCCATGTCCGGATAGCCACATGTTGGCTTGGCGTGAATGGAGGACTCCTCTTCTCAGCAGGGCACCCCCTACTTTCTTCCTGACTCATCTTTGAAGTAGCCGCCACAGAAACATGGCCTCTGGCATAGGAACTGCCAGGTTTTCCTGTGTGATAATCAGACTGTCTGACAGCCTGGCAGGAGCCCACCACCACATGTAAATGAGGCATCCTAAAAGCACCTACCAACTAAGGCTTTGCCACTACCCCCACAGTATAAAATATCCTGGTTTTCCCTAATTAATCGGAGCTGAATCACTAAGACCTGGAGCCGAGCTGAGTCACTGAATAAAGGAGCAGTACCACTGAATCTGACTGAACTGAGTTCTGTGTCTTACTGCCTACGATCCAGTCTTCCCGGAGAGAGCTGTCTCTTCGTAAACCACGACTCACAGAGACCCTGCTTTCGCCGTCTCCGCACTTCCCACAAGATCCGGTGGCCAGCGGATCTCGTACCTCGAGGGAGTGCTCGGTGGAGTTTGGGACGGAACCCGACCGGGCAGCTGACAGCGTCCCGCCAGAGGAGCCAGCCCCTGTAGCAGAGACCCACAGCAACGCGGTGCGGGACCCACCGCACCCCAGCGGCCCACGGGAGACCCGCGCCACACCCAGCAGCTGGCGCTCCACGAAAACCGCACACCCATATCTGGCGCCCAACGTGAGAGCCTCTGAACTTCGCGCCAGCCAGCAAGCTGGTGCCCCCTGAAACGCAGGATTCGTGAGTCTCTCTCCCACCAGGAGAGCAACGCAAATCTTTTTTTCTTTCTTTCATCTCCCATCAGGAGAATAAAAAGGCAGCTGTGCCCCCAAGCCTCCCCACTCGTGGGGCCTGGCAAATCTCTCTTTTGTCTCCCATCAGGAGAATAAAAAGACAGCTGTGCCCCCAAGCCACCCCACCCTTGGGGCCTGGCAAATCTCTTCTAATTTCCTCCTTTTGTTTCCGGTCTAGAGTCTTCGCATGAGGATGTTAAAGACAGAAAGGCAACTGAAGCTTCCTGGTCAGGGCTACTCCCTGACATTAGCTGAAGGCCTCTCTGCCCCCTAACGACCTCCGACCGCCTGCACAGGTGTAGACAAAGGACCTTCTATCTAAACATCTTTCTAATATAAAAACCTGGTGACGCAGCAACCACGTAAGAGTCTTAGGATGGTTGCCAGTCTCTTAAATCTGCGGGAAGGCTGGTGCTGGGGGCTAAGTGAAATCACCTGAGATTTTTATCTCAGGCACGTTTCCTTAGAAACCAGCACTTCACCCTACTTTCCTATCTTAACACTGCTAGAAAAATCCCCAGAGTTCTAAGAGATCTTCACATAAGCCTTAAAGTCAGCTTCTAAAATAAACTTCCCTAATCGGTTTTGTTATC